TGTGCCATGCCCTGGTGCTTCAGATCTGACTATAGCATGGGCCCTGCTTCTGAGGAATGTACAGCAGTTCAGTGGTTGTTATAGGATACTATGGCAATAAAATCATGAGTGTCTTACAAACATAAAATGAACATCTGCCAATGGTTTTATTTCTCATTAATTAGTGAGGGAACCAAAAAGATGTTAAAACTGGTTCAAAGAATTTGCCTTATAGAGATTTAAATTTTCTGCTGAACAAAATTCACTTGTATTGTTTCAGAAAGGAATTATTTGTATTGTTATCAGTTTTCCACAATTTATGTTCTATTCCTATAGAGTTGTAAAACAGCCAAGTCAAAGACAATTAAAGGTTCATACCCCTATAAAATCAGAAAACGTGGGTGGGGCAGGGGGGTGCTTCTAGTCCTGCCCAGCATTTCGTTGAGAGGATCTGCAGTCATCTCTGTGCCCATTTCCAAGTCTTGGACACTTTTTCCCCCTGCGTAAGTGTACCGCTGTTCTTTAATTGGTGATGGGGAGTTTAGGGACTGGGACTCATAAAGTTCATAAGAAGCACATCAGTTCCTTTTGATATTCTCCACTATCTTGGCTGCTACAATGGTACTTCAAAGTTCGTGGAAAGATTCATATTATCATTTAATTCTGTTTTTCCACTAACTTTTTGAAGTACTCTCATATTTTCCATTTTAGGTTTTTATTATCTTTTAGATTAGCTCCTGACCAGTTTATCTGACTTTTGTTGAGCCATTTCTTCTAGAGCTTCTCAAATTTCATTGTACATGAAAATCACCTGGAGTAAAATGCAGATTCTGAGTCAGGAGTTTTGAATAAGGCTGAGTCTGCATTTTAACAAGCTGCCAAATGATGCTCATGCTTGTGATCTTTGCATAGCAAAGATTTATCCTATATGCTACTTTTAAAATGCCCACTGTGTGCCAGGTGCTCAAGAAACATGGAAGAGAGGGAGGGAGGTTGACAAAAAGTCTGAAATAACCAGAGATGGAATGAGATGGGCGTAGATTCAGGTGGTGACATTGAGGGATGATAGATGATCATTATAATTCTGTTTATTCCTCACAAAGCTGAGCAACTGTTATTGCCTTCCTGGAATGCTTTCAAAAATATTTTTGAGTTACTTGATAAACGGGGTTGAGCTTTACTGCTGAAGGCTCTGCTTCTGTGGGATTATCATTCTTAACTTTGATTGCCAGTGGTAATGACGTTAGAGGCCTGAAGGATAAAGGTAACAGCCAGCGTACGGGCCAGGAGAACGTTTACCTATGGTAGACAATGGCATATGTGAAATACTCCTTAATAGGAAACTAAAATATTTATTATCAACTATGATGCTTCCCAACTTTTAACCACTGAATTTGAAGCTTTCTAGTACTAATCACTACAAATCTGTTAGAAAGAGTGTAACAAAATATATATTACAAAAGGAAAAAAGAGTGACCAGAAGATTGAAGTGTTTGGGAAGTTTTATTCTAATATTAGCCTCTCAAAACTGGAGACAAATCTGTAAGCCAACAATTGCCATACAGAATGACTAATGCCTTAATAGTAGGGTACAGGGAGAGTTGTGGGGACATAGCAAAGAGACACGTAATGCATCGTAGGGGGGCAGAAAAGGTTCCTTTATGAGAGGGTACTTAAATCTGAATCCTGAGGGAAGTATAACAGCTGGCCAGGGGGCCAGGAGTATGAGGGCCCCTCAGATGAGCACATGCATGTGCCAAAGCACAGAGGCATGGCCACGGTGTTTAACAAAGGGGGATGTCAAAGGAATGGGGGACAGATAGAAGGGAAAAAAGATCAGAGAGGGAGACCAGCCAGCAAACATTTGTAGTAACCCACGTGTGACATTGTGAAGACCCTGATTAGAAAACATTGGGCAATTTTTAATGAGCAAATGGCCCGCATTTACTCCATAATATACCAATTTTCCCTATTCTTATTGTGGAAAAAGCACATCTGCACATTCTAGTTTCTAAACGGCACCGATGTTCAGAGTTATGCCTAAGCGTGTTCACAGAAGGTATTTGGAATTTTTATAAGTGCATCTTTGATATGATTTTTATGAGCAGTGTTAATTTCTTTCCACATGAATAGCTTTAATAATGCTGCAATCTAAATCCTATTTAAATTAGTTTATATTGTTTTCTGCTTTCTCAGTGATCTTTCCACTGAGTACAAAATTGAATTTACACTTGGGTATTGAAAGTGACCACTCCCAATATGCTCCTATAGCTATCCAGGGGGAATTAGTTGCTTAGTCTTAATTGAAATAAATTAAAGTCACTTCTTACATGGCAACAAATATTGACTAGAGTTACCAACCATGCTTTAACCAATGTTTCTTAAATTTAATTTGAATGTCAGTACATCAATCATACATCGGCCTACCAGTTTCAGAAAGTTCAGAAATGAAGATGAAATTGGGAGTTTTCAACACTATATACTCCTTTTAAGCTAATGGAATTCTGCCTCCTAGTACTTGTGAAAATATTAGAAAATCTCTTGGCTGCTCACTTTTTAAACAGTGTGTTTTCAATTGCTTAATCTTAACGATGTTGTTTCCTCTTACGAAAAACTATTAATTAACTATAATCTGCTGGTGGACATATGCTCCAGGTCTAGGAGCAAAGGTCAATAAAATGCAGTTTTCAGACCATTTGAGCAAACATATGTTTTTTAAAATTTAGGTATGTTCTTCCTGACAGTAAATTAGCATATTTATGAACTGAGAGACAAGGAGCAAGAGAAGGAAGAACTACCAGTGTGTGAGGGAAAGAGAGATGAGTGTTGCTCTCTCTGCTCGTAAGCTCTGTAACAGAAATTGTTTCTCTGCGTTACATAGAGACAAAAGTCACAGCATAGGGGAAAAATAGTACATGAAGTCAGTGTTCTCTTTTTTTGTTGTTATTTTTTAAGAGGAAAAAAAAGAGATTTCTTATAAACATTCAGTTTATTTCTGCTGTCTGTCCAGAGGTCCATTCTCCTAACATGTATTGGCAGGGAGAGAGGAAGCAAGTGTGGAAGGAGGCAAAATTCATTCCGACTGTAATAGTCACAGTGGGCCTCTCACAAACATAATGCTAAATTATGGGCCTCTCCATGGGCGGAACGTAATGTTAAGTTGTATGATGGATTTTATTTTATACAAGCCGCTTTGGTCCATGAAATGAGATACGAAACCACTGCAGCTAGAGTTCACTGAGGGTTGAACTTAGACTGAAATTCCAGACTTAACAAAATGGTACAAGCCAGTGATGATACAGAGTCAGTGTGCTCTGTGCCTGTGGGTTGAGATTTTCAGGGAATCTTGAATCTTTCACTTTCAGGGTGTTCTGTGGGCATTCCCAGGCCAATCATCTCATCTGGTTAAAGTGTAAGGGCAGAGGAGGCAGTTTTGCTCAGAAAAAAGCTTTGATCCCCAAGCCCAGAAGGCCACTGTCACAGTGAGAGAGGGCCTGGAGCTGTGACTTATCAACAGCACATCCATAATAGCTGCTTTCTGTCCTGGAGAGGACAGAGCACACTCCACGTGGCCCTCAGTCAGGCTGTGTCCTGTCTGACTTCGTTCAGTGCACGTGCTTCCTGGCAAGCAGCAGCCGCACTGAGGAAGTTGTGCCCTGGTCTGGGAGGTCTTCGGTAGGAAAGGTACTAAACATATTTGTGTAGTATCCTACAGAATTTACAAAGCACTCTGCAAATGGGATATTAAAAACAATCCAATGGTTGATTTTTAAAAATCTAGTGAGTAAAATAAAATTTCTTCAAACAAGAATCACCCTCTGTTCATCTGGAGTGCATATGTGTTTGTTAATGTGAACAATGCTTAAGGATGTCTCTTTTGATACTCCTCCAGTGGAGGAGACAGTGCCTGGCACATGGTTGGCATTCAGTGAATAAGGTAAGAATCTGAACCTTCCCATCTGAATTCGGTCTACCTAGGTTACTTGAAAGAAAGTAGGATATTTTTCCTACATCACATTTTCCAGGGGTAGAAAAATACGAATGAAAGCCTTCTCCCCTCAAGCTGGCCTGGAAAATATGCAATCAGCCTTCAGCAGAAATAGGATCAATTAATGCTGTAGTAACTGACACACATCTTCCAGTTATAATTAACTTAATCACCTTCAAACTTGCTTTTCCTCCACCTCCAAGCTATAAATACAACACCGTTTGTTTCAGTAACCATTCAAAAACAGGCAAATCTATTTGTTTTCTTTGAAATAAACTTTATCATTTATATACTGGTGGAACCTTATTCCCCACTTCCCATACCTCCCACCACCACCAAACACACATGTCAAACCAGGCTTAAATGGGCTTTCCAATAGCCATCCAAAGCAAGCACTGACCACCTCAGGGAACATGTCCTCTTTTGTGGAAAACAAAGAAATACTCTATTTTTCAGCCTAATTAAATGTTATACTAAGCCTAAAATTAGTTTTGAACTCAAGTGGAACAGGAATTTGACTTATCCCTACTACCTGCCTTATGAACAATATATTGCATTAGAATCAGTTTTATAACAATTTAATCTGTCCACATTTTGACCCTAACTCAGCTGATTCTGCAAGTCAGAAACCTGGTATTGCTGTATAATATTTCTGATAAAGAAATAAAGAAATGAAGTGGAGGCCAAATAGGTTAATAACAGTGTTTCAAGTCAATCTTAAGAAAAAAGAATCAAGGTTTGGTGGAAGAATGAAGCTGTACCCTGTTACTAAGAACGCCCAGAAAAAAAATTGAGCCCACTGAGTTGGTCGGTGAAGATGTGAACCTCCTGGCTGGTCCTACAGTGCAGTGGAGTCAGGTAAGAAAAGAGAAGTTAAGTGATGGCGAAGCATTCAGTCGCAGGAAAGCTTACCTGTCTAGTGCTGAAAATATATCCATTAGGACGGACCGTGCTCTGTCTTTTAAAAGGAACCAGAATAAAGTATATTTTTTCAGCCTTGGCTTGACTTGACTTGGTGGTCTTCCATTTCCAGATGATAGCAAGTTTTCGGAGGCTATCACAGTGCTGCTTTCCTGGATTGAACGAGGGGAAGTGAACCGGCGTTCTGCAAACCAGTTCTATTCCATGGTGCAGTCGGCCAACAGCCACGTCCGCCGGCTGATGAATGAGAAAGCCACCCATGAGCAGGAGATGGAGGAAGCCAAGGAGAATTTTAAAAATGCCTTAACTGGGATCCTCACTCAATGTAAGTAAAACTTGGGGGGCCATGTCTTTTCTTGTGATTTTTGCCTTTTCTTTTTCATTCAATTTTATTTTATTTTTTTTCATTTGGGGGTAAGTAGTTCAATAATCTCCCATTTTACTCCATATTGAATGGCAAACCTCATAACCTATTTCATGTTCTGTGGCAACTTGGAGGAACACGGACCCTGCCCTGAGCTTACTTCTCAAGGTGAGCAACGTTTCTGTAGCTTTTCCTCAGAATATCAGGTCTGGCCACCATGGCAGGGCAGCCAGACGCCTCTGTGCCTGATGGCCCCTCCACAGCACACAGCACACAGCACACCTACAGGGCAGCCACACAGACCCATGTGTCCTAGTGCTGACAGTAGACGGCAGACCCCGAACACATTGTCCTGGGCTCTGTTTAGGAAGAAGGTACTGTCAGAAAAACTCCTCCTCAGGATCCATTATCTGAGGTGAGCTTTGGCTGTCAACACGGGCAACTCAGGAGTAGAGATTTTTGTCCTTTCTTCATTTGGAAAGTAAATTGCCTTAACTACTTAATTCCAGTGATTTTTCATGTCTGGATCCTAAATTGATGAAGGGGGTGTAAATGGAGCTTTCTCATAGAACAATAGTCAGGGTAATTACCCAGGGCTCTATTCAAAAAAAGGGCATATATTTTTTTTATGGGCTCTCTATCTGTGTCTGTAGTTAACGTCATGGCAGCATAATGCATCACAGCTGCCAATGTTCTCTTGCCTGGTAAAAGCCATTGAATGACACTGTAACAATGCCGTGCTCCATTCTATACCAGGTGCAGGGGCCTGCACGCGATAGCAATATATGCAATTTACATATTCATTCTGAGGATGAGTACTGTTTTTAGTGATATAATGTGCCAAAATGCCTATCACCTCTTTCATCAGTGTAAACCTAAGGGATAATGGATCTCTTAGGATGGGATGAAAGAAGGGCAAGAAAGCACAGGATCTTAAATGTAAGTGTCTCATATGACTTTGTTGTCAAGGTAGTTTTTGTAGAAGCATAGAATATCATGTAATGAAGTCCCAGACATTAGCTCTGAGTGGCCTGATAACCAGTATGAGACATTCTGTCATTAAAGAAAAGGAATAGGAAAAATAGCACTGCTCTATCTCATACAGACCAATATGAGACCACCTTACCTAGATTCACCAGCCTTGAGGAGTGGCCGTTTATCCAACTGCGTATGTCCAGCAACTCTAAAGGTAGGGTTATTAGAGATAGAACAAAGAAAAATAATATTAACACCAGCTTTTGAAGGAAGGAAGGAAAGAACAGATTAATGGATAAAGGAAAGATATGGGTAAATGGGTAGTAGATGAAAGGGAGGGAGGGCAAGACACAACAATTCTAATAATACCATTCCTTTAAAGCTATGGCAAGAAACCACATGCCTGAACAGTGGAGTGATTACTGTCTACTTACCTTTTGCTCACTAGCAAAATAAATTCTTATTCCCATGCAGTTTACATTTCCACCTAGCAGGGAAGACTCAACCCTTGGCTCTAACACTGGAGATAAGAGGGCAGCCACGGGTTAAAAGGGGGAAGTTTAGGTTTCTTTGGCAAGAACTACTGAAAGAGTCACCTGTTAAAATGAGTCCCCTATAAGATGGCTGAAAGAATGCAATGTGCCTAGCTTTCATTATGCAGGTGTACGTCAGCCCACCCTTCAAGTACCTGAGAGATAGACAAAAAAAGTATAGTGTGCGGGAATCCAAATATCAGCTTTTTATTACTCATAAAAGCCAAATTGGAAAATGAGGTCGAGACATGCAGTGGTAATGGGCTTCCTAACGCTGGACCGTGGGATTGAGCATCCATCCTCGGGCAGCACTGAAGATCACAGGTCCCTGAAGGCCTCACCTGGATGCCTGAGTGTGTGAGAGGAGTAGAGGAAGGGGTGGAGCAGAACAGGAGAATATGGTCTTAGGGAAACCACAGGAGTGGAAATTAACGTCATAGATACCTGTTAGGCACCTCAACTTGAAAAGATCAAAAATGAGATTCTTGCTTTTAGTCTTCAAACCTGTTTCTCTTTTGGGTTTCTCTTTCCATTTTAATACATTCTCAGGCCAAAATCTCGTGAGTAATTTTTACACTCTCCATCTGCCACCTCCGAACCCCACATGTCGGCCATCAGGAAGTCCCATTGTTTCTACCTCCAAAATCGCACCCGTTTGGCTCACTTTTCTTCATTTTTAACTGACACCAGTCAAGTCCAGGCTGCCTGCACTATGGGAATCACTTAGTTTGTCAGGTACAGTGTCTACCTGTGCATACAGACAACTCTACCAAATTGTATCTTAAACAACTGGAGTTTTGTCTTTTCACACAACAGAAAAATTCAGGTGTTGGTGTTTGTTGGCACTGGTTCAATGGCTGAAGGCTGTTGGGCCAAGGTTTCTGTGATGCTGTTAGCTTTTCCTAGAGGGTAGCCTAAGACAACTGCTGCTCCTCCTGCCAGCACATCTTTTTATTCCAGGCTGAGCTGACATAAGGAAAAAAAGAGTAGGAGGGAGAGGTAGGAGCTGCATCATCATAGCAAGAAAGCAACACTCGGCCAAAGACCCCCTACGGACTTCCAGGTGTGTCTCACTTGGCAAAGTTATCACACATGGCCATGCCTAACTACAAGGGAAGTGAGAAATACAGTTTTTGCCTGGGCTCATTGCTCTCGAGAATAAAATGGAAGTTCTCATAGGAGGAAAGAAGGGGAGAATGGCTACTGAGAAGCATTTTGCAATTTCTGCCATACATATTTCCTCCCTTTCCACTTTTATTCTAGTTCAGTCTATTTTTCACACATTGATATAAATCAGATCATGTCTTTCCCACTTAAATCCCTTCCCATTGTACTTACAGTAGTGTTCACTCTCCCTAGCCTGCAAAGCTCTTTGTGCCCACCTCTTCAACATCAGTTTTCCCTGACTCGCTCTGCGTCATCCTCATTGGCCTCCCTCTTCCTGAGGTCATCAAAGCTCCTCCACACCTCTGAGCCTTCACACATTCTGTTCCCTCTGCCTGGTGTGCCTTTCCCCCTACTCTTTGCATGCTTGAATCTTTCTTATCTTTTGGGTCTTGGCTGAAATGCCATGCCTTTCAGAGAGGTCTTTTTGGTTCACCCTCTTCTAGTAGATTCACCATCACTGCACCTTATTAAGGTCCTTCGTAGCACTTATCAAAAATGTGTGATGACCTCATGATTTGTCTGCTTTTAATTATTGTAACAGGCATCACAAAGAAAGGGACATATCTTTTTTAGTCATAGATATATGCCAAGTGTCTGGAACATAGAAATATGCAACAAAATATTAATATTTTGTGGATGAGTGCACGAGTGGATAAATAAAGTGGAAGGCAGGCAGGAAGCCTGAAATAGTGAGTTCAGAAATTTCTGGTGACCTCGTTGATGTTGGTCAGTTTGGAACTGGTTTGAGCACCATCCACGGGTAATGGGGTTTCAACTTGCATGTGTAAAGAAGCAAATGGAAGGAAGAGCTCAGTAGCTATGATATTATTTGGATATCACTACACTTTACCAGGTCCTCGGTAGCAGGCTAGGGCATAGTAGGAGAATTGGGATGAAAGCGTCAACAGAAAAATCCATGTTGGACTGTCCCCTGTTAACCATCCAGCAACCTTCACATTTACCATCTACCTATTACCCGCTATTGGTTTCTTCCCCTTAGCCCAATAATTTGATTCTGGGAAGTATTTCAGCAGTTGGCAGTTATCAACAGAGACTATGAAAATCCCGCAGTGCTGGCTGAGGGGTACACATCCCAGCTGTAGAGCATCTGAGGACTTTGTGGGAATCTTTGATAGCCAAGATCTTTCAGAATGACTTGGAAGATGGGACATACCTTAAATGTGAGCCTGGGTTGGAATAAAGCCAGTGGAGCAGATGGAAGATTGCATATCTCACTGAGCAACCTCAGAATTTTCCATTCTCTTCTATGTGCTCTCACAAAGATGACTACTCCCCAGATGTAAAAGGGAACCAAATCCTAATGTTTGCTGTGAAAGTATTAGCAGCCACTGACTAATCTGGTAGACATGTGCACATCTCATCATCCTTTGAATTTTAAATACTTCTCATTTCCTGTCGTGAGTTTCCCTCTCTCTGGTGGAGTTACATTTGTGTGTTTTGACAACGGTTTTGCTTTCCCCTGCTCGATTCAGTGTGGTGTGATGAGTCTGGTATCAGTACTGTGGGGCTGCTTCTACAACAATAACCGCTAAAGTCCACAGTGATTGACACACGTGCTGCATTTTTCAAAGGCAGAGCCAGTCATCCTCCCATTTGTCTGCATTAATACTCCTGGCAAACACCCAGGAATCCCATTCTGGCTTTCTCACTTAGAATGAGATTAGGATTGTTAAGCACCAATATTCAGAAATGGCATCACAGCTTTCTTTCTCCCACGTGGCTGGAAATCTCCTGGTTATTCAGCAGTGCCCCCTCCCACATGAAGGATGTGTCAATGCCATTCTTCATGGCATTCTATGGCAGCCCGTCCATTAGACAGCCAAGAGTGTCAGGAAATGACTCTGATGCAGCTTGGAAGCAGGTGTATTGACAATCTAGCTTATTATAGCAAGTGGAGCAGGCCTGGTGTCCTGAAGGGAGGGCTCATTTAACAACTTCCAGGAAGGTTCTGGTACATTGCAAAGCTCAAAGCATAGGAAAAGTATAGGTCCCTGTGTAGATTTTGCTGGAATAGCCAATTGGTTGACACTTCAAGTGTGAGTCCGTTAAGCTGCATTAGATACACCTCTCTCCTTGCCATGCTGGTCATATTTGTTCTTGCTTTCATTTGAAAGCATCCATTAGCTCAGATGGTTGGCCTGGATTGCTCACCAGCCATCTAGGAGAAAGAAAGCTGAGATGCCATTCCCAAATTTTAGTGCTTAACAGAAATTTCTTGGAAAAAGTAAGAGCCATAAAGAAGAAGTTGTGATTTATTTCAAAGTC